GGACTCAGAAAGTATACTTCTCATATATCCTAGTAAGTTACTTTAGAAGATAAGTTCTTAAAAAATGAGAGAATAACCTAACACACAGGACAAAACAAAAAGAGAAAAATAGGGACTAAAGAAATCGTGAATCTAACTCAGGAAAGTAATTTTAGTCTCAGTATCATGGCTGTATAGCAAGCCTGGAAGCCAGTCAATCCAGAGTGAAATTGGACTTTAGAGGACTCTAAAAGGAAGCTACCCAGGAAAAGATGAGATTTAAGAAATCTGTACAATTTGGAACAAATTGCAAAGGTGATAAAGGTACAAGATTCAAGGAAAAAAGAACAGCAATGAAACATGAAAATTTGGGGAATTACAGCATTTTGGGCCTTTCTTTAAAAATCTGCTTGTGAACAAAGAGATCAGATTTTATTTTGACAAACCAAGAGATTAGTCAAAATTTGAAACTCAGGATTAGAGAAGTAGCTATAAGTGAACAGGTGGTAATTACTGAATACATTTAAATATCAAAAAGCCTAAACAATGGTGAGAAACCAGGCCAAGCATGGTGACTCATGCCAGAAATCCCAGCACTTGGGGAAGCTGAGGCAGGAGGATCGCTTGAGCCCAGGAGTTTGAGGCCAGCCTGGGCAACATAGTGAGACCCTCCATGTCTACCAAAAAAAAAAAAAAAAAGGAAAAATTAGCCAAGCGTGGTGGAACATGCCTGTAGTCCCAACTACTCAGGAGGTTGTGAGCTGTGATCACATCACTACACTCCAGACTAGGTGACAGAGTGAGCCTTTGTTTTAAATAAATAAATAAATAAATCAGACTTTGTCATGCATTTTCCCATGTTACTGCTTCTTTAAAAATTTCAGTTTAAAGAGCTCAGTATCTTTAAGAACAACCAAAATTATACAACTAGTCAAGACAGGCCTAAACAGGATATTGAATATCAAGATCCTGTGCCTTTGGCTGGTAATGCTGTTTACCTCAAGGTGATCAGGATTGAGGAACTAGAAATAACAATTAGACAAAGAGCAGATTCAGTAGAGTGAGGAAATGGGAGGGTATGAACAGGAGGTTGTGGTCAGAGGGGAATTTCAGAGTTTTAAATAGTTATCAGGTGTGACCAAATTACCCCTAGTTGGAGTCGAGGTGGAAGTAATGAAATTGAGAAAGTTGAGGAAGGTAAAGTTCTCATGTTAGAAAACATGGAATATGGGAAAACAAACAAACAAACTGAGCCACTAAAACAGGAGGAAGGGACTGTCCTGCAAGTAGTAGAGAAGGAAGAGGAAAGGCAGCATAAATAAAAGGCATAAAAATAAATCTATTTTCTTTCTTATGATTCATGTATTACTCAGAAGCCTCTGAATTCCTAGAACTTCTATTGAGATTTCCAAATCAGTTAGTAATAACATTCACATATTGTATTTCACTGATGTGCTTCACTGCTGATTTCACAGTGCTGTTACAGGCCTAGTGTCTCCAGATAAATTGACGTGCAGAGCTTCTACAATAGTCTCTTGTGAATTTGGAGCATGGGGAGCCTTGCATGTTGGGGCCTGATGATCTCAGATGTAATTAGTTAACAGAACTGTGGGTGATCAGAAGTTAAGGATGTTGAGGTGGAGAGAATGATCTTGAATTAACCAGGTGGGCCAAATGCCCAAAGTAATCATAAGAGTCCTTATAAAAGGGAGTCAGAAAACCGGGGTTAGGAGACATGAGGATGGAAGCAGGAGGTTGGAGAGGTGAGTCGAGCGTGCAGCCAGCCTCCAGAGGCTGAAGAAGCCAGGGAAGCAGATTCTGCCCTCCGAGCCTCCAGAAGCAACCACCCTGTCAACACGTGGGCTTTAGCCTCCTGAGACAGATTTTGGACTTCTCACCTCCAGAATAGTAAGATAATGAGTTGGTGTTGTTTTATGCCAGTAAGTTTGTGGTAATTTATTACAGTAGCAAGAGGAAACTAATACAAAAAGTTTGCAAATGTTTTCAAGGTTTTGATTGCCGCATTTTGTCAGCAGTGTATGCATGCCTCTGTTTTTACGTTTTGAACTGACACATATTATACATAGTATGGAGTACAGAGCGATATTTTGATGCATATGTATAATGAGTAATGATCAAATCAGGATAATTAGCATGTCTGCAACCTCAAATATTTATCATTGCTTTTGGTGGGAACATTCAAAATCCTCTCTTCTAGCTATGTGAAAATATACAATAAGTTACTAACTCTAGTCACCCTACAGGGTCATAGACCGTTACAGTTTATTTTTCCTAACTGTGGTTTTGCATTCATTAACCAGCCTCTCCCTATTTTCTCCTCTCCCCTCCACTTCCCTCCCTCTAGTAATCACTATACTTTTTAGTGTCCACATGTGAGTGAGAACAGCTGTTACTTATTTTTCTGTGCCTAGTTTATTTCACTTAATATAATGACCTCTAATTCCACCTATGTTGTTGTAAATGATATGATTTAATTCTTTTTATGGTGGAATAGTATTCCATTGTGTATATATGCCACATTTTCTTTAGCCATTCATCTGCTGGTGGACACTTAGGTTGATACCGTATTTTGGCTATCATCAATAGCACTGCCATAAACTTGGGGGTGCAGATATCCCTCTCATTTACTGATTTCCTTTCCTTTGGATGAATACCCGGTAGTGAGACTGCTGGATCATAGAGTAGTTCTATTTTTAGTTTTTGAGGAACCTTCATACTGTTTACCCTAATGGCTATATTAATTTACATTCCCATCTGCAGAGTGTAAGAGTCCCCTTTCTTCTACATCCTCACCAGCATTTATTTTTTGTTTTTGATAATAACCATTCTAACTGGAGTGATACAATATCTCATTCTGGGTTTTATTTGCATTTTCCTGATGATTGAATGTATTTTTAATCTTTACTTTTTTTTTTTTTTTTTACGTGTATGTCCTTATTTAAATAGCTTGTAAACTTTTCTAGGGTATGAAACATGTTCAGTACTTCTCTTTTTCATCTCATACAGGTGTCCTAATCCTGATAGATCCAAAAAGGTGTTGACAAATTTCAGTAGTATTGATAAATTTCAAGAGAAACTTGATCTGAGTTTTTAAAAAGGAATTGTATGAGTTCTACTTTAAGCCCCCTGAGTTAGATTGAGTATGGCATTACATGTTTTAGAGTTAAAAAAAAAAATTCTTTCAACAGGATGTCAAAAAAAAGTTTTTGAAAGCAAGCTTAGTGGTGCCATTTTGTTACCAAAATGAAAGAAGCAATTTGAAAAAAATAGGAAAGAAATAGAAATATACAATACAGATTAATATGTAGAAATCTGAACATAGATCATGTTTAACCTTTTACAGTTGTGCATTCTTCCTTATTCCTTTTCCACCTATGTTGTTCTAACAGATTATCAGATCTAACTTTTTGGAGGTATCTTTAGGTTTTTTGAAAATATGATCATGTCATGTGCAAAGAACAGTAAGCTGATTTCCTCTTTTCCAACTTGGTTGCCTTTTATTTATTTCTCTTGCCTGGTTGCTCTGGCTGGGATTTCCAGTAGTATGTTTAATAAGAGTGGTAAAAGTGGGCATCCTTTTCTTACTATAGTTTTTAGAGGAAAGGCTTTCAGCTTTACTCAGTTCAGTATGAGTTTAGCTTTGGATGGTCATATATGACCTTTATTATGTTGAAGTATGTTCTTTTTATGCCAATTTGTTGAGAATTCTTATTAAGTGATGTGGAATTTTATCAAATGTTTTTTTCTGCATCTGTTAAGATGATCAGTTTTTGTCTTCATTCTGTTGATGTGATGTACCACGTTTATTGATTTATGTATGTTGAATCATATTTGCATTCCTGGGATAAATCCTACTTGATCATGGTGTGTTATCTTTCGATGTGCTGGGTTTGGTTTGCCAGTATTTTGTTGAGGATCAGTGAATCTATGTCCCTCAAGGATACTAGCCTATAGTTTTCTTTTTTGTTGTTGTATCCTTGTCTGGCTTTTTGTACTAGGGCAATGTTGGCCTTGTAAAATTAGTTGGGGAGAATTCCCTCCTCTTCAATCTTTTGGAATAGTTTGAAAAGAATTAGTATTTGTTCTTTTTAGGTTTGGTAGAATTTGGTAGTGAAGTCATCTGGACCTAAACATTTCTATGTTGAGAGTTTTTATTACTGGTCCAACTTGAGAAAGTTGAGGAACATAAAGTTCTCATGTTAGAAAACATGGAATATGGGGAAACAAACAAACTGAGCTATTGAAACAGGAGGAAGGGACTGTCCTGCAAGTAGTAGAGAAGGAAAAGGAAAGGCAGCATAAATAAAAGGCATAAAAATAAATCTATTTTCTTTCTTATGATTCATGTATTACTCAGAGGTCTCTGAATTCCTAGAACTTGTATTGAGATTTCCAAATCAATTAGTAACAACATTCACATATTGTATTTCACTGATGTGCTTTATTGCTAATTTCCATGGGAAAAAAATTAGACTCCATTTAATTTGTATGTTGAGACTTTTTATTACTGTTCCAATCTTGGTTGTTTGTATGTGTCCAGGAATTCATTTCCTGTAGATTTTCTAGTTTGTTGGTGTATAGTTGTTCATAATAGTGTCTTTTTTCTTATCTGTGGTATCAGTTTTTTTCTACAAGTATATTTAAGACTGCTTTATTCTAGTTTTAGGATAAAACTTGAAACTAAAATATTTCTGTGTTAGAAAGGATAAATTGGACAGGCATGGTGGCTCATGCCTGTAATCCTAGCACTTTGGGAGACCAAGGCAGGTGGATCACTTGAGGTCAGGAGTTTGAGACCAGCCTGGCCAACATGATGAAAATAAAAAAAATTAGCTGGGCATGGTGGTGGGCATCTATAATCTCAGCTACTTGAGAGGTTGAGACAGGAATCACTTGAACCCAGGAGGCAGAGGTTGCAGTGAGCCGAGATCATGCCATTGCTCTCCAGCCTGGGCAACAGAGTGAGACTCGGTCCAAAAAAAAAAAAAAGGATAGACAAAGGGAAGCGAAGCCGGAGCTGCGGGCGCTTTTTCTGCCCGCGGTGTCTCAGATTCATTCTTAAGGAACTGAGAACTTAATCTTCCAAAATGTCAAAAAGACCATCTTATGCCCCACCTCCCACCCCAGCTCCTGCAACACAAATGCCCAGCACACCAGGGTTTGTGGGATACAATCCATACAGTCATCTCGCCTACAACAACTACAGGCTGGGAGGGAACCCGGGCACCAACAGCCGGGTCACGGCATCCTCTGGTATTACGATTCCAAAACCCCCAAAGCCACCAGATAAGCCGCTGATGCCCTACATGAGGTACAGCAGAAAGGTCTGGGACCAAGTAAAGGCTTCCAACCCTGACCTAAAGTTGTGGGAGATTGGCAAGATTATTGGTGGCATGTGGCGAGATCTCACTGATGAAGAAAAACAAGAATATTTAAACGAATACGAAGCAGAAAAGATAGAGTACAATGAATCTATGAAGGCCTATCATAATTCCCTCGCGTACCTTGCTTACATAAATGCAAAAAGTCGTGCAGAAGCTGCTTTAGAGGAAGAAAGTCGACAGAGACAGTCTCGCATGGAGAAAGGAGAACCGTACATGAGCATTCAGCCTGCTGAAGATCCAGATGATTACGATGATGGCTTTTCAATGAAGCATACAGCCACCGCCCGTTTCCAGAGAAACCACCGCCTCATCAGTGAAATCCTTAGTGAGAGTGTGGTGCCAGACGTTCGGTCAGTTGTCACAACAGCTAGAATGCAGGTCCTCAAACGACAGGTCCAGTCCTTAATGGTTCATCAGCGAAAACTAGAAGCTGAACTTCTTCAGATAGAGGAACGACACCAGGAGAAGAAGAGGAAATTCCTGGAAAGCACAGATTCGTTTAACAATGAACTTAAAAGGTTGTGCGGTCTGAAAGTAGAAGTGGATATGGAGAAAATTGCAGCTGAGATTGCACAGGCAGAGGAACAGGCCCGCAAAAGGCAGGAGGAAAGGGAGAAGGAGGCAGCAGAGCAAGCTGAACGCAGTCAGAGCAGCATCGTTCCTGAGGAAGAACAAGCAGCCAACAAAGGCGAAGAGAAGAAGGACGACGAGAACATTCCAATGGAGACAGAGGAGACACACCTTGAAGAAACGACAGAGAACCAACAAAACGGTGAAGAAGGCACGTCTACTCCTGAGGACAAGGAGAGTGGGCAGGAGGGGGTCGACAGTATGGCAGAGGAAGGAACCAGTGATAGCAACACTGGCTCGGAAAGCAACAGTGCAACAGTGGAGGAGCCCCCAACAGATCCCATACCAGAAGATGAGAAAAAAGAATAAATGTTGCCTTGTTTTATGTGTTCTAAATACTTTTTTAAATGAAAAAATGTTTTTTGGTTTTAATGGTGTTATGTGGTTTGTGTATTAATTTTTTTCTTGTCCATATCACACCACCAAAGGCTTTTGGACCATTTAGCCTCATGAACCTAATGGCACAGTCAGTCACCCTTCTTAGTGTTGTGAAGATGGCCCTTTTCTTTGGATCTTGTTTCTAGCCCTCAACTGCTGAAAGCCTCAGAATTTAGATTAATTGAGAAAACACCCTCCTCTTTTAGAGAATTATCCTTTGATGCTGCAGAATCTACTGTTACAATGCCTTCCTACAGCTCACTGGGGTGCTTACCAAAGCCATAGCTTTAAACCTTCCCAATCCCCATCAACAGTTTCCTGAAAGTCTCCTCTCTTGTTTACTTCTGCAAAGGGTAGCTTCTTAAAACTGTAATCATGTATGAGTATGTATTTGTTCACTTCCCCTTTTTTACTTTTAGTCAATGTCAGATACCAAGAGTTGTGTTAAGAAGTTGAGTGTAGGCTACAACTAACTATGCTTGGATCTTACCAATCCAGAAATAGCTCCCATAGTTAAGAGTAGTTACTTAAGAAATGGTCATTAAAGTGAACACAACGCATATACATTATCTATACTGCTTTTTGTTATGATTAATATTGGGTATGTTCTGGTAAATTCATCCTTACTGTATAGAAAAAAAATTACTTTTTTACCAGGTTTTCCAAAGACAGACTAGATCACAAAACTCAAGGAATTTAATATTCTTGTAATGGACTAGATAATTTAAACTAATTAGCCCATTCCAGAAGAAAAACAGCTGGGAATTAAGTTAATCCACTTGAAATTATTTTACAATAATCAGAACATTCAAAACCTCAAGGCTCAGGATCCCATAGATCGAGCCCACCTTTTTGATAAACTCTTAGTACTAAGTCTTGAGACTAGAAGCAAGATAGTTTGTGACACATGCTTCCCAAAATCTAGAATAGATTTTTACTGAATAGTGGTATATCTGATGGTATATGTTTCCTAAAGGTCCAAATATAATAAAAAAATGAAAAAAAAAAGGATAAATTGTGCAATAGTCACACATGCATGAATAGCCATTACAATGAGTAAACAATATCTTAATGCAAACAATATGGATTAATCTTAAAAGCATCATGTTAGATAAAAGAAGCAAGGCAAAATAATGCATTTCTCAGTTGCTAACATGATGAAAAGGAATTATAAAAGTTAGGCTAATTACTTTCATTTTAAAAAAGTTATTTTTATTTTTGTGGGTACATAGATATATTTATGGGGTATATAAGACATTTTGATACAGGCATGCAATGTGAAAAATATATCATGGAAAATGGGGTATCTATCCCCTCAAGCATTTATCCTTTGAGTTATAAGCAATTCATCTACACTCTAAATTTTCCTAAAATGTACAATTATTATCGATTATAGTCGCCCCATTGTGCTATCAAATAGTAGGTCTTATTCATCCAATGTTTTTGTACCTATTAGCCATCCCTACCTTTCTCCTTAGACCCCTATAACCCGCCAGCCTCTGGTAACCATCCTTCTCCTCTCTATCTCCATGAGTTCAGTTGTTTTGATTGTTATACCCACAAATAAGTGAGTAATGTAATGTTTGTCTTTCTGTGCCTGATTTCTCAACATATGGATCTCCATTTCCATCCATGTTGTTGCAGATGACAGGATCTCATTCTTTTTTAACTGAATACTACTCTATTTTGTATATGTACTACATTCTCTTTATCTGTCCATCTGTTGGACACTTAGGTTGCTTCTAAATCTTGGCTATTATAAACAGTGCTGCAACAAACATGGGAGTATTTGACATACTGATTTTCTTTCTTCTGGATGTCTACCCAACAGTGAGATTGCTAGATCATATGGCAGGTATATTATTAGTTTTTTGAGAACCTCCAAACTGTCCCCCCATTTTTTTTGACAGTTGGCAGAGCTAGCTGAGGTTTTATTTTGGACCAAAATAAATAAATAAATAAAACAATTAAATTGTTTGTACTTGTAGTCCTGGGCAAGGGGGCAGGTCCCCAGGCAGTAAACTCCCACATGGGTGGGCTGCGGTCTAGAGCTGAGCCTCGGGTGGGTCTCCTGTTTCCTGTGCTCCCCTGCACAGGGTTCTCCCTCCTAGGCTCTGGGGCAGGTGCCAGAGGGGCAGGCTGGGAGGGGCTGCCGCAGCTGTTCACTTGGACAGGATGTCAGAGGATTTGGACACCAGCTTTCCATTGCAGGTCTTCATCTTCTTCACAACCACGGCCATGGTGGAGCTGGTGCGGGTGAAGGAGCTGGAGCCCGTGCCACAGCCAAAGCTAGAGCCCAGGCTGTAGCTGAGCCCGGGGCTTCTGAGGCCCCTATAGGTTGAGCTCAGACCACCTGCATAGCCGCTGGTGGTCTTAGCATGGATTCATACATGTTCTGCATCCCAGACTCCAGCTGGCTCTCCTCGCCTTCCAGCAGCTTCCTGTAGGTGGCAATCTAGATGTCTAGGGCCAGCTGGACATCGATCAGCTCCTTGCGCAGCTGTCGCACCAGGTCCTGCTTGGCCCGCTGCAGGGCGGCGTCCAGCTTGGACAGCTTGGTGTTAGCATCCTTAATGGCCAGCTCCCCACACTGCTCCCATGGCGGCCTCCAGGGAAGCCCTCTGGCCTTTGAGACCCTCAATCTCAGCCTGGAGCCGGCTGATGTTCGGTTCATCTCAGAGATCTCAGGCTTTTTACGCAGCAGGTCATCCCGGTGCTTCCCAGCCAGCATCTGAAGCTCCTCCTACTCGATCTGGTACATGCTCTCAGACTCAGCCCAGCTGTGGTTGGTGATCTCATCCTGTGACTTAACCTCAGCGATGATGCTGTCAATGTCCAGGGAGGGCCTGTTGTCCACAGACAGCACCACAGACATGTCCAAGATCTGGGACTGCATCTCCTGGACCTGCTCTTCATACAGCTGCCTCAGTCAGCCCTTCCCGGCAAGACTCCAGCTTACCTTGTTCATGTAAGCTCATCCACATCTTTCTTGATGAGGACAAATTCATTCTCAGTCTCTGTACTCTTAAAGATATCATCATTATAATTGTTCTTGAAGTCCTCCACCAGCCCCTGCATGTTGCCAAGCTCTGCCTCCAGCTTCAGCTTCTCCTCGCCCAGAGTTTCTAGCTGCTAAGGTTGTTGATGTAGCTCTCGAACATGTTGTCCATGTTGCTCTGAGCCATCTTCTGCTGCTACAAGTAGCTCCACTTGGTCTCCAGCATCTTGTTCTCCTGCTTCAGGAACCATATCTTGTCAATGAAGGAGGCAAACTTGTTGAGGGTCTTGATCTGCTCCTTTTCCTGAGTGCCCCTGGCCTGGATGTTGGGGTCCACTTCCAGGTTAAGGGGGCTTTGCAGGCTCTGGTCGGCTGACGCTGGTGATGCCTCCCATGCCGCTGGCCCCACCACAGCCTCTGCCCAGGCCATCCCAGAAGCTGCTGCTGCCCACTCAGGAGAAACTCGAGGACCTGAGATGGGTACCTGGCCCACTTGTGTAGGAGCAGCTGCTGAAGGCCCTGGGACCAGAGGTGAACACCTTGTAGGACTTCTGGGTCATGCGGATAGACATGGTAGAGGCAGGAAGGCTGAATCAGGCGGAGATTCCAGAAGGAGCAGAGAAGCTGCTCCTTAGTCAAGGGTTGCCTTTTCTTTACATCTTTGTTAGCAGTTATTATTGCCTATTTTTGGTATAAGCCATTTTAACTGGGGAGAGATGATATGAGATTGTAGTTTTGATTTGCATTTCTCTGATCAGTGATGTTGAGCACCTTTTATATGTCTGTTTGCCATTTGTATCCTTTTTTTTTTTGAGATGGAGTTTTGCTCTTGTCACCCAGGCTGGAGTACAGTGGTGCGATCTCGGCTCACTGCAACCTCTGGCTCCTGGGTTCAAGTAATTTTCCTGCCTCAGCCTCCCAGGTAGCTGGGATTACAGGTGCCCACCATCATGCTCAGCTAATTATTGTAAGTTTTTTAGTAGAGATGGGGTTTCTCCATGTTGCCCAAGTTGGTCTTGAACTCCTGACCTCAGGTGATCCACCTGCCTTGGCCTCACAACGTGCTGGGATTACAGGCATGAACCACTGCCCCTGGCCACCATTTGTATATCTTTTGGGAAATGGCTATTCAAAACTTTTGCCCATCTTTTGATTGGATTGTTAGACTTCTTTCCTATAGAGTTGTTTGAGCTTCTTATATATTCTGGTTATTAATAGCTTGTCAGCTAGGTAGTTTGCAAATATTTTCTCCCATTCTATGCGTTGTCTCTTCACTTTGTATCCTTTGCTGCGCGGAAGCTTTTTAACTTGATGTGATCCCATTTGACTATTTTTGCTTTGGTTGCCTGGCCTGTGGGTTATGTCTCAAGAAATTTTTGTCCAGATCAATGTCATAGAGATTTTCCCCATTGTTTTACTGTAGGGGTTCCATAGTTTGAGGTCTTAGATTTAGGTGTTTGATCCATTTTGATTTAACTTTCGTATATGGTGAGAGATAGGGGTCTAGTTTCATTATTCTGCATATGGAATTCATTTTTCCAGCACCATTTATTGAAGAGACTGCCTTTTCCCTAATGTATGTTCTTAGTACTTTTGTCAAAAATGAGTTCACTGTAGGTGTATGACTCTGTTCCTGGTTTCTCTATTCTCTTCCATTGGTCTATGTGTCTGTTTTTATGCCAGGACCATATTGCTTTAGTTACTATATCTCTTTAGTACAATTTGAAGTTGGGTAATATGGTTCCTCCAGTTCTCCCCTCCCCCAACTTTAGGATAGGGATTGCATTGAATCTGTAGATTGCTTTGGATAATACATTTTAAAAATACTATTCCAATGACGAATGTGAAATATTTTTTTGCTGTCCTCTTCAATTTCTTTCATCTATGTTTTTTGTAGTTTTCGTGAGAGATCTTTCACTTCTTTTGGTTAATTCTCAGGCATTTAATTTTACTTGTAGCTATTGTAAATGAGGTTTCTTTCATGATTTTTCACATT